TGGAGAGGGGTGTTACCCAGCCCATTGTGGCTACCGAACCCTGCTAATGAATGTGTTGTTGAATTGTGAATTTTTTTTTCTTTTTTGTTTAAATTTTTTTTTTTACATTTGGGATGAACAAAATTCCTACACCAATGCCTCCTGAAGTGGTGGCCACTGTGGCGCGCCCTTTCTCCTTGTGGGACTGGGACCTGATGCCCTGTGGATACCCGACTTCTGGGAGTACAAAAAAATAGCCAAATGCCTCGTTATCTAATTAGTGACGCGCATGAATGGATTAACAAGATTCCCACTGAGGGAGATAAATTTTAGTAATTGTTTAGTCCAGCAAGGAGCATGTAAAAGGGGGAGGGATTTTAGAACAGGCTTTCATTAGTGTGTACATTTGATATGTATATATATATATATTTTTTTTTATATATCTTTCACATATTTCACTTAAATATTATGTATTTTTGTTTTTGCCCTATATATGTATGTTTGCAATTTTTTGTATTTTTGCCCTATATATGGGTGTGTATGGTTTTGTGTGTATATGTGTGTATGTATGTATGTGTGAATATGCATGTGTATGTATATATACATATATATATATGTATACGTTTTTTTTTTAACGCATTTTAGTGTAAGAACACTAATTCATTCTTATTATTTTTCTGTAAAGTGATAGCATGCTGACTATTATACTCTTTATCATATTTCACCAATATATATAGGCTTTTTCATTTGTACAGCGGGTGCATGCGCGCTTTTCTTCTAGGGAAAAATTCGAAAAGACCTTTTTTTTCTTTTTCTTTTCTAGTTTTCAATAAACGTCGCTGATGGACTGGGCCGGTGCCCTTGGCTGTGGTTGCGCTAAAACAGTTGATCCCGGGGGGTGGGGTTTTTTTAAGTAATTTTTTATATTAGGATGCCTGCTATACCTTTGTGGTGCGGGCAGACGAGCAATTTTATTTTTATTTTTTCTTGACTTAATTTCCCTTTTCTTTTAAGTCTCCTCTATATATTTTGTCCCTATCTACTAGTCCAGCAAATAGCATGTAAAAGGGGGAGGGATTTTAGAACAGGCTTTCATTAGTGTGTACATTTGATATGTATATATAATTGTTTATATATCTTTCACATATTTCACTTAAATTTTACGTATTTTTTATGTTTTTTACCCTATATTTGTATGTCTGCAATTTTTTTTGTATTTTTGCCCTATATATGGGTGTGTTTGGTTTTGTGTGTATATATGTGTGAATGTATGTATGTGTGTATATACATGTGTATGTATATATACATATATATATATGTATACGTTTTTTTTTACGCATTTTAGTGTAAGAACACTAATTCATTCTTATTATTTTTCTGTAAAGTGATAGCATGCTCACTATTATACTCTTTATCATATTTAACCAATATATATAGGCTTTTTCTCATTCTGTACAGCGGGTGCATGCGCGCTTTTCTTCTGGAAAAAAAATTTATAAAAGAAAACCTTTTTTTTTTTTCTTCTTTTCTAGTTTTCAATAAACGTCGCTGATAGCCTGGGCCGGTGCCCTTGGTTGTGGTTGCGCTAAAACAGTAGATCCCGGGGGGTGGGGTTTTTTAAGTAATTTTTTATATTAGGATACCTGCTATACCTTTGTGGTGTGGGCAGAGGAGCAATATTATTTTTCTTTTTTCTTGACTTAATTTCCCTTTTCTTTTAAGTCTCCTCTATATATTTTGTCCCTATCTACTACTGCTGCCACCAGGGGGACACCGGCGCCAGCACCTGGGCCCTTCAGCTCCAAAGGTAAGATTTTTTCCCACTTTACTCCCCAAGATTGGGCAGATATCTTGTAAAAAGTAAAATCGGAACACCCGAGGAACGCGTTCGACAGGCTAAAACTTACCTATAAACAGGAATTTTCAAATAACAAGAATCTCAAACTTCCCGAATTGCAAAACAAAAAAAAACAAGATGGCCGCCACTCACGTTTGAGCAGATTGAGCAAAAACTTAAACCGCTAGACAAAATCAAACTATCGCATAAGATTCTCCACGCCGAGACCGAAAAAAGATACCAAACTTATTGTTCTAGCTAAACTAGATCCCGAGAAATAACCTTTCAAAAATTCGAAGTGGAGATGCGGAAGATAGGGTTAACCCTAAGCAGAAATCCTAATCCATTTCCATTCTAAAAACAACAGGCCCTAACCTAATTAATTTATATATTTTAAAGAAGTACAAGACCTAGAGAACCCAAATTCACCATTATTTCTTAAATCAGACAAAAACTCGCAAAGTTACTACATTAAACACACAATAGCATTCCCATGTGCTTTCCTAACAAAACATTTTAATCCATTTCATCCAACCCGTAAACTACACGAAACCTATATAAATAATATACCGATTTAAAGCACACGCTCCAGGAAATCCAAAAATATAATTATTTTTCAAATCCGACCAGAACTCGCGAAGTTATTCAAACGTATATATCACCAACACATGTGCTTTCCGCCATAACAAAGCATAGACTTAGAAACTAACGGCAACCGGAAAACCTTGCTGGGGGCGGCCATCTTGCTAAACCCACCCGAGGTCTAGGAAAGAGAAATTTAAACCGAAACCGAATGCTCGAGATCATCTCAGCCTAGAACCCATTTGAAACCCACAGGAAACCTAACTGCCCTATAAATTGCTTCATATCTCGAAAACTATTGATCCTAGAGGGAAAATAAAAGCACCTTCTCCCCCTTAGAATGCGCGAGGAACACGATCGGAAACTAATCTGGGCGAAAAATAAATCGAAAAAGGCCTACTTAGAAACTCTGTAGTCGGCAACAACTAAGGACACCTGGGGAAGATAGTTGGAACTACGCAAAATATTCAACCGAAACCGAAACCTCGAGATCATCTAAGCCTAAAACCCATTTGAAACCCACAGGAAACCTAACCGCCCTGTAAATTGCTTTATATCTCGAAAACTATTGATCCTAGAGGGAAAATAAAAGCACCTCCTCCCCCTTAGGAACCCGGAGGAACACCAGCAGAAACTAATCTGGGCGAAAAATAAATCGAAAACGGCCCAATTAGAAACTCCGTATTCGGCAACAACTAAGGACACCTGGGGAGGATAGTTGGAACTACGCAAAATATTCAATCAAGACCGAAATCGAAACCGAAACCTCGAGATCAGCTAAGCCCAACACCCATTGGAAACCAATACGAAACCGAAACGCCACACAAATTACTCTATGGCTGTGTTCCAAAATTTACTCGATCCGACTCCGGAGTAAAAGTTTCGTACCGTGGCATTTAAAAAGTTACTCCAGCTTACTCGATGACGTCAGAACTCGCGTTCCAGAAGCGGGTTGTTTACTCCGGAGTAATTACTCGCGCTACCCTCCTCGATCGGGGGGTAAAGTCGGATCAAATCGAGTAAACACGTCACGTGATCTGTTCGTCGTCTGCTTTCTGCGCCGACAGCCGTCAAAGCTCGCTTGCTCCGTTGGTTTTGGTGGCGGACGTTCGAAATTACAAAGAATTAGGTGCAGCATGTCTGGTTATTGCGATTTGCTGTTGTCAACGCAGGAATTGACTGCATTACATCCAGACCGTCCACCTTCCCCGGGAACGTGTACAAGCTTGTTATTATCTGAGTGCGAGCGTAAACAGGAGCTTCTCCGCATCCTCGTCCTCGGCGTTGGGGGAACGCCGTAATCTCACGTTCAAGGCCGAAAATGTTTGAACTCGGTATATGATAATGTAATATTTTTGTTTCCTCCAGAGTGTGTGTAATGAGAGGATAACGTTTGTAAAGCAGTGAAGGCTTCGAAAATTTCACTGTAATCACATTCGCGTCAAAGCGAACGTGAGTTTTATATCATTCTGAAGAAAACACCCTCGCGCTGTACCGCTTAAACGTGTGGAATATATTTCTGCAAAACATAATCGGTGCAAATTACAATGCGTGCGATATATGCGTTTAGGGCACCGTGACTAGAATTGCAGCGATCGCGCTGATTAATAACACATTTTTTTTATGTCTAGCTGTAAGGAGTAATTTTGATCTCAATATACAGCTCAAAACGAAGGTGAGTAAAAGGAGCTGGTGGATCCACCTCAAAATACACCGCGTCGTCATTAACATTACCGTTCTTCGGGTGCTTTCTCCATGATCAAAAGGATCGTCTGCTATTTTCTGCCATCGCTGCTGTGTTTTCTTTTTGCCGTCGCCCAAGACGAAGCCAATCCGCGTAGTATCCAGGTGATTATCCTGGCCGTTCCAAAATCGAGTCGCGGATCGTTTACTCGCGATGTCACGTGGTATTACCCGCTGACGTAGGAGGCAGGTTACTCGGGTAAGATTTGGAACATACCCTATATCTCGAAAACCATTGATCCTAGATGGAAAATAAGGGCACCTCCTCCCCCTTAGAAACCGAAAGGAGGAGGATCGGATACTAATCCGGGCGAAAAAAGCGATCAAAAACGGCCTAATAGAAATTCCGTAGTAGACAACATCTGAGGACCCCTGGGGAGAGTGGTGGGAACCACACAAATCAGTCGAATAGACCCTTTCCGAAATTCAATGCCATCTGGTGGTTTGTAAAGGAGTTTAGGTTTTGTCATATCAATGGCGGAAATGAACTTGTATCGGCACCGTCACTTTCGCAAGTCAACGGCACGCGAGGAATTGTTCAGCGTAAGTTCTTTCTCGATCACTTTGAGTTCGATGGTGACCAACAACCTGCATTCAGAACGAAGCTTCAACTCACTCAGAGGCCTCGAGAAATTTCTATATACCCAAGTGCTTTAAAGCCGATTGTGTGCCGCCCACAGATTGACTGAATCTGAGTTATTAGAAATAAACGCTTACGTAGCTCTTGTGTTCCATTCCCACGTCGCGTCGTACTGACCCCCCGAATGTACAGGCCTCGCAAGATCCGCTTAGGAGCATCTTCAACGTCTTCCTTTATCAGTCACTAGAAGGCCGCCATTGGTATGGCACAGATGCCGTTCCACAGATGATGATAGTGATCAAAGTGGCCAGACTGAATTTCGGAAAGGGTCTATTCCACCTACCCTTGTATCCCAAATCCAAACTTACTCCCAATAGGAAACCAAAGCAAAACAATTCGAATTCACCCGCTAGTCACCCTAAAAACTTACCTGAGAACCTAAAAGCCTCAACCACACGGAGACAACACCGGCAAAGATGAACGCATATCACGAGAAAAAGAGCGTTAAGAAGAAGAAAAACAAAAAAACGAAAGAATACTGCTCAGACAATGATGAAAAGAAAAACCACAAGGACAAGGAAAACACCGATTCGGAGGAAGAGGGCATCTACTTGGAACGGGAGGTGAGGGAGGAGATCCCAGAGACGGGGGAAGACGACTTCCCAGACGAAAGGAAAACTAGTCGCAACGCTGCCAACAAAAACAAAACAAAAGACACCAAAAAAGACAGACCCCAAACACAGGAGCTCTCACAGGCAAGCTTGGAAGAGCTACTTAAAACTATCGCAGAACTTACAAGGACAACAATCAAGGTGATGGACGAAAACGCCAAAATCAAAGCCGAACTCAGCCGAATCAACGAACAAACCGAACTCATAATCCAAGAGAACCTACACCTCAGAGAACTCGACCTGTTGCAAAACAATGCAAGACTAAACGAGTCAGAGAAAGCGAGGACTAAGACGTACTCACAGGCGCTGGGCACGCAAAGCGATGACAACAACGAAACCCCGAAACAAGACGACAATGAGCAAGAAAAGAAATATACTCTACTGGTAACGACAAAAGGAAGTCAAGAAAAAGACGACCACATCAAAGTGGGCAACCTCCTAAAGAAATCAATCGACCCAGCGGACGTCGGGCTGACTGACGTCCGACTTAAACCGATTAGGGGAGGACTGGCCATAACTACCAACTCAAAAGAGGCCATAGATAAACTGGAAATTGATTGATTGATTGATTGGGGTTTAATGGCGCAGCAGCGACCAAGGCTATAATGCGCCAACAACTAGGACTATTGCTGAATCAAGGTTGAAGAGAAGAAAGAGCTATAGTAGCTTGTAATTTAATAAAACAATGATCATGAAAGTACAAGTGCATAAGATGTGGCAATGAATACGATGAACTATTAAAATTATAGCTGGTCCAGGAGTCTTATATCCTTAAGAAAGTTGAAAACACACTTGTGTGGAATCAACGGCTCATCGCTGAGTAAAAGGGCGAGATGTAATGGTGTATGCTCTTGGTAAACCTTAGCGAAGTGTCTGTGGCGTTCTTGGTCATACAAAGGGCATAGAAGTAAGATATGTAGGATGCTTAACGGAATGCAGCAGTGTTCACACTCCGGAGCATCCTCCCCACGCAAAAGATGCCCATGGGTAAGACGGGTATGACCAATTGGCAGTCGGCACAAAACCACCTCATAAAAACGCTCGCGGTGTCGTGCACTCTCCCATTCCTGAAGTAGTGGTTTTATTGCGCGCAACTTATTGTTTATTTCTCGGTCCCATTCCTCTTGCCACTTGCGTCTTATGGAAAATTTCAGAACATGCCTATAGTCTCTGTAAGGTATTTTCCACAGGTCGACTTCTCGATCCTTAGCAGTACTTGCTGCTCTGTCAGCATCCTCATTCCCGGCAATTCCGACATGTGAAGGAACCCAGCATAGTATTATTTTCTTCCGTTTAGCAGCTGAAATTAGCCTGTTCTTTATTTCTATTACAAGTGGATTGCGATCATTTCCCACTCTGGCAAGAGCTCGTAAAGCACTAAGTGAGTCGGTGTAAACAATTGACTTGTGAAGCTTTTGTTTGAGGATCTTATCTGTGGCGAGGAGTAAGCCATAGAGCTCTGCCGTAAAACTACAGGCACTGTCATTTATTCTCCGGACAAGCTGCATCCCAGTCCCGATCACTGCGCAACCGACAGAGGAATCAGTTTTACTACCATCAGTGCAAAAGCTTATAAAGTCGTGATACTGTCCTCTGAGTTCAAGGAATTCTTGTCTCAGGACTTCGCGAGGAGTGTCTTTTTTGTTGAATTTCGTCAGCTCCAGTTCGCACTGAATGGGAACTAGGTCCCAAGGGGCTGCCGAACTCAAACACTGTACAACTGGAGGCAACACGTCCAGTCCTACAGACTCCGCAGAATTGCAAACCCTCATGGCAAGAGGTGGAACAACTGAAGGCTTGTTACTGAAGGTTCGCTCGTAGCGTATTCGTTCCATACAGTGTAAGGTTGGATGGTTAGGAACCGATCTAATTCGCATAAAATATGTGAAGCCCAGTTCAGATATTCTTTTCTCCAGAGAGAGCTCGTTTGCTTCTGCGTATAGACTGAGAACAGGAGATGTGCGAAAAGCACCGGTAGCAAGCCGCAACCCCTGATGATGAACAGGGTCCAGCATTTTGAGAACCGATGTCCGAGCAGAACCATACACAATACAACCGTAATCAAGTCGGGATCGAACGACCGACCGATAGATACGCAAGAGACAAAGACGGTCAGCACCCCAGGACACATGCGACAGGACCTTAAGTATATTAAGCGATTTAAAACACTTCATCTTCACTCTCTTGACATGCGGAACAAAAGTCAATTTGGAATCAAATATAAGACCTAAAAACTTGTGTTCAGTTTTCACTGGGATAGGAACATCATACATAGTCAAAGAAGGTTCGTGCAAAACTCCGCGGCGACGTGAGAAACTCACACAGACGATCTTCTCAGGAGAAAATTTAAAACCGTTGACATCAGCCCATTTGACCAAGTTGTTGATTGCGAGCTGGAGCCGACGTTCACATATGGATGGATTACAAGACGATACAGAAATCTGCAGATCATCGACGTACAGTGAGTACTGAACAGATGGAGCTATTGCGCGGACAATTGAGTTCATCTTCACAATAAAAAGAGACGCTAAGTACACCACCTTGAGGTACTCCATTTTGCTGCGAAAATTCTCTAGAAAAAGTTGTCCCAAGCTTCACGCGAAAAGTCCGGTTTTGGAGATAACTCTGAATGCCACTTAACATTCGGCCCTGTACACCTAAGCTGAACAGATCCTGCAGTATGCCATGGCACCAGGTTGTATCAAATGCCTTTTCCAGGTCAAAAAAGACAGACACAATGCTGCTTATTTACAAATGCCTCTCGCACAACAGTCTCAAAGCGAACTAGGTGGTCGACCGTGGATCGTCCTGAACGAAAGCCACATTGGTACCTGTCAAGAAGATTATTACTCTCCAAATAAAACATCAGCGTTCTGTTGATCATCCTTTCTAATGTCTTCGAAAGACAGCTAGTTAGTGCTATAGGCCTGAAGCTGGAGGCACAGGCAGGATCTTTTCCTGGCTTTAAAAGGGGGATAATGACGGCAGCCTTCCAGGTCAATGGGAAAAGACCCTCGACCCAAACTCGGTTGAAAAGATACAAGATGAGCTCTAGAGTAGATGGATGAAGGTGCTGAAGCATTTGATAGTGGATACCGTCCGGTCCAGGGGCAGTCTGTCCGGATGAATCGAGAGCCATCTGCAGTTCGTGCAGCATGAAAAGAGAGTTATAAGGCTCTTGCAAACCACCGGTCGTAGGCACAATCTTTTTTTCTGCATGTAGCTTATGCCGCCTAAATGATTGCGTATAGTGTTCGGAACTAGAAACAAATTCGAAGTGCTCACCAAGAATGTCAGCCTGTTCGTCAAGGCTTGCAGGACATGTTCCATTCCGGCACAAGAGTGGGACAGAGAAAGCGCCGTAGGAACCCTCAATTTTATGCACGCGGTCCCAAACTTCCTTTATAGATGTACTGCTATTGATTGAAGAGGCATATCCTCTAAAGCTTTGCCGCTTGGTTTTTCTTCGAATAAACCTTGCCTGGGCCCTTTTTCTTTTAAAACCAATCAGATTACTTGGAGTAGGGTAACGCCTAAAGATACCCCAGGCACGATTCTGTTCCTTTTTTGCCTGGCGGCAGTCTTTATTCCACCATGCCTTCGGCCTTTTTGGGAGATGCGAGGACGTCATAGGAATGGCGATGATTGCGGCCTGTAATATGTGTCGAGTGATATGCAGAGTGACATCATCGATGGAAAGATCATCAAGTGATGAACAAGCTAAAACTGAAGAGCTGCTAAATGTTGCCCAGTCAGCCCTCTCAAACTTCCAACGAGGGGTACGCGTTTGAAGACCAGCAGGAGGACTGTTAAACTCTAAAACAATTGGAAAATGGTCACTTCCATACGGGTTTGGGATGACCCTCCATGAAAACAGCGAGTATAGTGAAGGATGGCAGATAGAAAGGTCGATGGAAGTAAAAGTCCTGGTCGCTGAACTAAAGTGTGTGGCTTCTTTAGTGTTAAGTAAGCACAGTCCCGTGGAAAGAAGAAAACGTTCAACAAGTGCTCCTCTAGCATCCCGTTAACCACTCCCCCACAATGGGTTGTGTGCATTAAAATCGCCTAAAAGTAAGTATGGAGCCGGGAGCTGACTAACAAGATCCTCTAGCTCTTCGTACTGCAGCTGGTATCCCGGTGATATGTACACTGAACAAACAGTAATCACCCGGTCTAGCAGTATTCGGGCAGCCACAGCCTCGAGAGTGGTGTAGAGAGCCACTTCGGCAGATGGGGTTGTGCGCTGGGCAACTACAGCAACACCACCAGACGCCACAGAGGAGTGCAACCTATCTTGTCTAAACACTTGATAATGGCGGAGTACATTTGACCTAGTTTCTTTAAGATGCGTCTCCTGCAGACAGAAGGCAGCAGGGCGGTGTTCGTCTAATAAAAGTGACATCATCATAATTACAAAAAAGCCCACGACAGTTCCACTGTAAAAACAGAGACATGGTGAAGATTAAAACTGGAAATTAAAATTAAAATTATAACTGGCCTTCAGGACACCGCGAGATAACTAAGTGGCGACACTTGCTTATGATTCATTTCTAAAGGGACTACGATCCCTTTGGGGGCAAAATTCTAGGAAGTTTATTTTTCTTTTTCTTTTCTACGACCTGAAAAGGTAGTGATGACTCAGCACCTGAAGGGACCAGGTCGTCGTCAGAGGGTGGCATGCTCTCATCCATCATTTCATCTACTGACTGCTGGCTTGCGGTCGAGTATGCCTCGTCCAGCTGGCCAGGCTTTCGAGAGCTGGTCGAGGCGGGAGTGGGCAAAGCCCTGCCTCGGCCTGAAGAGCGAGCAGACGACGAGGGTGTCCGCTCCAGCTCCTTAGAGGAGGTGGTCTGCCACGGACCCTCTTTACGGACTGAGGGTGGTGCAAGAGGCACCACCCCTGATGCCTTTGGAGGGGATACCTCCTTTGGTGCCATGATGTTCATTGCCTCCTTTAAGAAAGGCGCGACAGCACCATTCAGGCACTGTGAACCTTTTGGCTCCAACGACAAACGTGGTCGTAGAGCCGACCTTGGGGGGGCAGGGGGTGTCGGTGGGGCTGCCAGGTCTTTGGGACAGACCTGGGTTCCCACCGAGGTTTTCGGTGACACGCCCCCTGTGCGTGTTACCGTAGCGAAGGATCCTTTCTGTAGAAAAGAAAGTCGCTTCCTGGCCTCAGGAAACGAGATGTTTTCTTTTACTTTGAGAGTAATTACTTCCTTTTCTTCTTTCCATTTTTTACAAGAACGGGAGTAAGCGGCGTGTGGTTCGCCGCAGTTGACGCAGTGTGGTGGGTTTGCACAGTTGTCTGACGGGTGATCGTTCTGACCGCACTTGGTGCACGTGGTCTTGCCCCTGCAGCTCTGGGCACTATGGCCGAACCTCTGGCAATGGAAACATCTCCTGGGGTTCGGCACATATGGCCGTACTCTACAGTTCAAGTACCCAGCCTTGATTGACTCGGGAACTTTGCTCAACTCGAAAGTCAAAATGACATGTTTTGTTTTGATCTCTTGCCCCTCTCGACGAAGGGAGATTCGCTTTGCAGCGACAACTCCTTGGTCACTGAGGCCATCTACGAGTTCATCTTCTGTACTTTCGAGGAGGTCATCTTCAGAAATCACACCTTTTACTGTGTTCAATGTACAGTGGGGAGTGACTGTCACTTTATAGTCAGAAACTGAATTTAGTGATAGGGGTGCTGTGCTCTGTTCACTGGTTTTAATCTCAACGAGCAGATCTCCGGATGTCATTTTTTTGGCAGAGTTCTTTCCAACAATGGACTCAAGCGTTTTGGAAACAAGGAATGGTGACAGTTTCGCCAAAGGTTTCTCACTCTCAGAGTGCATCACCAAGAATCTTGGAAATTTTTCTGCAGATCTAGTAGGATTAATTGCATGCACTTCGGTGCGGCCCCTTTTGGGGGGCCGATCAAGAAAGGTTTTTTGTTTAGTACCCATAAAGATGGGAGAGAATTTCGGTGACCCGGGTGCAACACCTACCACGGAGCCAAACACGGGGGTAGGCAATGTGCCATAACAAATATGGCTTTGCTGACAACATTACACTACCAGTGCTGCCCAGGCACTATAACCTAGTGTGGATCCGGACAAGGGGTCTATCGCCACCCAAGGTTAGCCCTTGCCGGCAAAGAAGGTGAAAAGGAATAAAAGAGCAAAGAGAAAGATAAGAGGGGATAGTAGAAGATGTGGCGACTGACTGAATCATCCTGGTCGGGCCAAGCCAGGACACCCGTCTACAGGAAGCAGGGGCCAAAGTGATGTGTTGCCTCGCCCGGGGGGCACCGAAGGGTTCAAACCTACCCCGGGCTCAGCTCAACCACCAGGATGCCCTTTTCCCTGGACACGGGCTCGCCACGCACAGCCAGACGTGGGTGGGTCGTAGCCACTTTTACTCAGGGTCTGTGGTGTCGCCAAAGTGGCTAGGGTCCGTGGTGACGCTACTCACCAAGCCCCTAGCACCTAAGGTGCAGGCGCCCCCTGCGGAGCTCGGGGTCCGTGGAGACGCCACTCTCAAACACCTGCTTTCACAGGTGCCCCCTGCGGAATAAACTGGAAAGGAAAATCAACGAAACAAAAGACACCAGAGAAAAACTAGAATACAAAAAACCCAAAGAACGAAATCCCCAAATCTCCATAACACAAGTAGAAAGAGAGCTAACAGAAGAAGAAATCACGAAGGCAATCATACACCAAAACAAAATCGAAGCAGGAGAGGACGAAATAAAAATAATTCAAACTTTCAGAACAAACAACGGCACGAACACCCAGATCATTGAACTGTCTGCGAACGCATTCAGGCAACTAATAAACAGGAAAAGGTTACTGATAGGTTGGACCTCCTGTCCCGTCAGAGAGAATATATATGTCCCAAGATGCCTCAACTGTTCATCATACGGACACACACAAAGGCAATGCCAAAACAGAGCGACGTGCCCTGAGTGCGCCGGACAACACAGACACCAAGAATACGAGGTGATCACAGTCAAATGCAAAGCCTGCAGCAACAGCAACGAAAAATTTGAATCACAATTTGACACTAACCACAAATTCACAGACCCGCTGTGCCCAACATATAAAGCACAAGTCGAAAGAATCCGACAAAGAACTTCATACTAAGGGAACAAAAGAGAGAGAGGGAAGAGGGGGGGGAGAGGCGAGACAACAGAGGACAACACGATAGAAGGGGGAACAGCTAAAGCGAAGAAATATGGTACACATAAAACAAACAACACATCCATTAGAATCACCCAAATAAACCTAAACCATTCATATACCGCAACAGAACACCTCAAGAATAATCAACCACACATCCAATCCGATATAACATGCATACAAGAACCCTACTACTCAAACAACAAAATCATTGGTTTCTCAGTAAAAGACATAATCATCCAGAATAAGGAAAAACCTAGAACAGCAATAGTAATACATAAAAAAATATTTGATTACACCTGGTAAAGGTTGATAGGGATCTAATAGCTATAACACTCACTACAAGCAAGGAAAAACTACTGCTAATAATCTCGTATTCAGCACCCAAAGAATATCTAGACTACACACTCGAACAAATTGAACAAATTCTTGAAAAACATCCACCGACACCAACACTAATAGTAGGAGACTTCAACTCAAAAAACCCCACATGGGGAGGAAACAAAATCGATGAAAGAGGGGAAAAAATGGGGGACTTCATAATAGAAAAAGACCTACACCTCGTCAACCACCAAGACTCACCACCCACATTCACACCGGCAAATGGAAACAGCTGGATCGACCTGACGCTCTCAACCCATAAATTAATACAAAAAATAAACAACTGGGAAGTCCTAGATGAAATTACAGCAAGCGACCACAACTACATAAATATAGATATATTTAAATCAATATCCAAAACAGCCAAAAAGCTTACCAAAAAAGGCGAAATAGGGCTAATAGAATCAACAAGAGCAGACAGAACACTAAGCAAAATCAACGGGAAACATATAAAAAACAAAGAAAACCTCGAACAAATCATAAATGAGACACCAAAGAGATTAGAACAAATGTACAAAAAACACTCCAAGAAAATTAAAGAATCAACAGGACAAAACCCCTGGTGGACCCCAGAATTAGACACCGAAAGGAAAAGAGTTAGAGCACATCGACGACATCAGAAATGTCAAAACCAACTAAAAGAAAATTACAAAAGCTTATATGTGGAAGCCCAGAAAACATACAAAAACAACATAAAGTGAAAACGGAATCCTGGCAAAACTTCTGCACAGAAGCCACCAAAAAGAATCTATTTGACATTCCCTATAAAATAGCACTTAACAAAATAAAGAGACCTATAATAATCCCCCTATAAAAAAGCTGACGGAACTAAATCAACTACCCTCAAAGAATCAATTGAAACCATAATTAATAGCCATTTTCCAAAAGACCAACCAGAACAATATGCAAAACAGCAAAGAGATACTAAAATATATACAGAACAAGCCCCCCAAACCGAAGACGACAAACCCTTTACATACTCAGAAATAGAACACATCATTAAAAAATACCCCAACTAAGAAAACACCTGGACCAGATAACCTAACCCCCACAATTGTAAAAGCATTATTGGCTGCACACACACAACTACTAATTAAAATATTCAATGGATGTCTCGAATACGGATACTACCCCAAAAACTGGAAGGAAAGTAAAACAATTTTAATTCCTAAACAATCCAAACCAGAAGACGAAGTTTCAACATATCGCCCAATATGCATAAACTCAACAATCGGAAAAATCTTAGAAAAACTACTCAATAATAGAATATACCACTTCCTCTATACCAACAAACTTCTCAACCCCAAACAATACGGATTTACACACAGAACATCAGCCACTAAAGCACTACTAAAATAAAAAAAATAATCGATAACAAAAGCAACGATGAGAAAAGTATAATCATATCATTAGATATAACCAACGCTTTTAATAGTCTGGATCCCGCACGTATTAAAAAAACTTAAAGATCAATCCCTCCCACGAAATCTCTATATATTACTATAAGAAATACTCGAAGAAAGAAAAATAACTTACAACCTCCAATCAGGTAATATAGAAATAACAGCACCAATAGGCAGCCCTCAAGGATCACCATTAAGCCCTCTCATTTGGAACATTTTTATAACAAATCTACTAGAAGAAAATTTCCCAGAAGGAACACATATACAAGCATTTGCAGACGACATTACACTCGTAATTAACGGGAAAACCAGGGCACAGATAGAGCAAACAGCCAATTCAGTATTAGAGAAAATAAACAATTGGAGCAAAACATATGGAGTCAAATTCAATAAAACCATATCGTTGTATACAACCATTGGAAACAACTATAAAAAAGGCCACCCCTAATCAAACTTGGAGGGCAAAACCTAAAACACACCGAAGAAATAAAAATTCTAGGAATAATCATTGACCGAAACCTATCATTTATACCTCATCTAAACTACCTCAAAGCAAAAACATATCAAAACACCATAACATTAGCCTCCTTCTCAGGAATCAAATGGGGAATTAACCAAGCACAATTTAGAGAAATCTACGTAAGATCTATTGAAAGATCAATCACATATGCGGCACCATTCTATTGGAAAGAGACAAACAATTCACACCTACTTAGAAAACTAAAGTCAATACAAAGAATCCCAATGTTAAAAATATCAAAAGCCTACAAAACAGTCAGTAACTCAAGTTTAAACATATTAACAAATCTAAAACCACTAGACTTAGTACTAAAGAAAGAAATAGGCACCTTCGAAATTTTTCAAAACAAAAAAAACTACAGTTTCGATAACAAAGAATACCTACACACAACCATTCAACACTCATTAGACATATCGAAAAATTAATCCGGCAGACACCATCTCCTTCCCCTTTAAACCGATCGAAAATATAAAACAAATAGAGTTAACCCAAACACTACAAATCTATACAGACGGGTCAGTATCGAGGAAAACAAGAGGAGCTGCAACAATATTTGAAGCTGAACTAATAGCAATAAAAGCAGCATTAACAAAAATTACAACCTACCCCGAAAAAACAAAATTCGCACTATTCTCCGACAGCCAATCATCCCTTCAGGCCATCGCGAACGCACACAATACTAACCCAATAGTCTATAAAATAAAAAGCAATAAAACACATCAAAGAACTATACGAAATAAATTTATACCATATAAAAAGTCACACTGATATAACAGGTAATGATATCGCAGACAAATTAGCAAACGAAGCAAGGAAAATTGGGACACCAATCAACACTAAAATTCCTAGAAACTACATAAAAAAAGAAATTGACTCCAAATTAATAGAGATTTGGAACACCCGATGGAACGAAAAAGACAGAAATTCCCCCCTATACAAATGGATACCCTCACCACATAACATTCCAACTAACTTCCCAGCTAGCCATTACGAAACACAACTACTAACAAACCATGGCAAATTTCCATTCTACTTTAAAAAAATTAACAAAACACAAGACGAAAACTGTGCATAAGGCAATACAGCTAAAAACTTTAATCACTATCTAGAAACTTGCCCAATCTCAAAAAACCTTAGAGACAGATTCTTAAAATATTTCCCAACAGGCCTCACAGAATCAAACAAAACACAAATAATAAGCCATCAAGACGCATTCAAGATTTTAGAAGAAATTGTCAAAACTATAAATCAAGTAAATCAAACATTATAAATACAATTCAAATATAACTGAGAAAGCGTATTTATAACACGCATAGACTATTTGGGACACCTACCCGGCAATCTTATTGGCACTCTCTTACTCACAAGCAACAGCATCTAAAAACGCGGAAATTAGGAGTGGGACATTAGGGGAAGAAACAAAAAAAGGGGGAATTAGGGTCGAGAGACAAGGGAAGCCAACTGCCCAGATAGAGACTCCCATCGGGCCGATAGGGCGGAAACTCTAGAAGGCATTAGGCCCTAAAATGAGTGAGAGGCGCACCCCACCAACTCCCCCCCCCCCACAAAAAGAAAAGAGGAGAAAAGGGAAAGAAAAAAAAAGAATGTATGGAAGAAGGGAAAAAAAGGAAAAAGAAATGACTAAAAGAGACAGGGACAAATTTGGGTGGAGACTCCGGGGCCTCCCTCACAAAGAGAACGGAAAGAAACAAGTACCAAGAGAACAAGGTCACGGCGGGGGGCATCCACCTGACACCTGGGTGTCCCCATTTGGGCTACCTCGGCTCTCCCCGGAAGCCAGGAGCCGCCCACTCATCCTTGGAGTGTTCCTCTGGGGGTGGGTCGCGAGTACCTTTAAGCAGGATAGAAAAAAGAAAGAAATGTGGAAAAGAAGACAGGGACCCATTAGGGGGGAGACTCCGGGGCCTTCCCCAAACAAAATAGAACGAAACGGAATGACAACAAAGAGAGATAGGAGGAGGTCACGGCGGGGGACACCCACTTAACACCTGATGTCCCTGGTGGGTCCAAGTTCTCACCCCGGGAGGCAGGGGCCGCCCACCCGCTCCTGGAGTTTCCCTCTGGGGGTGGGTCGCGAGAACCTCAGACCCGGCTAGAAAGAAGAGGAAAAAAAAAGGAAAAAAAGGAAGGGGGGAAAAGGAAAAAAGGGAAAAAAGATTATGCAAAAATACTCCAAAAGCCGGGAGACGTCATAATTAAAATAAGTACACCGACTTGACATAACAGAAAAAACAACTTCATTAGACGTTTCGCCTCCCATGCGGGAGGCATCATCATAGTTACACAGCCAATGCAGGGTTCAACCTAAACACAACGCTATTTATCACGAATGTCCGTGTAAGCTTCGTGGAGAGGGCCGCGGTTTTTGTTGCACACGGATGTGTCCCTGCGAAGAAACCACGATTCTAGAAGCTTTCGGGGCCCCCATCTGTCCTCTCTCGCCAAGGTCGTCGCGGCCGGAAAGTCGAAAGAATGCCCCATTGTCCACGCATGGTCCACCAGTTCAGTCTTCAGTCGCGTCGCGTGGGATGCGTACGTGATGATGCCTCCCGCATGGGAGGCGAAACGTCTAATGAAGTTGTTTTTTCTGTTATGTCAAGTCGGTGTACTTATTTTAATTAAAAAAAGATTATTTTTTTTTAGTTAGTAGCGAGGGCGCCCTCGCTACTAAAGGACCAGGCAGCAAAAGAAACGACAAAGGGTAACAGAGATGGGGAAGGGTGATGAGAGACCTCTGATAAGCAGTAAGGCAAAAAAAAACAGAAAAAGAAAAACAGAAATAAAGATATATATAAAAAAGGCATCAATAGGTAAAAGGGAAACTTGCCCAACCCTAAAAGACAGGAAAAATAGAAAAAAGAAAAATGAGAGAAAAAGGAGAGGGGATAAAACAAGAACTGAAAAGGAAAGAAAAAAAAGAAAAAAAAGGGAAAAACAACTCCTCTATACCCAACTAAATATCAACCCAGCGGTCTGAGCTAAATACAATAACCAACGGGCGCACAACACTAGTAATTAGATAACCCTAAAACCAAACCCCCAACCTTAACCTCAACCACTAGAATACACATAAAACACACCTAAACACCTTTCAAACCATAAAAAATCCAACAATTCCTACCCTTAAATACTAACCAAAAAAAAGAAAATTCAACTAACTAAATAGCTCACCCCAACCAACTACCTTTGTAACACAAAACCCAAAGACAACCGACATCAAAACCACCCCAAAATAAACACATAAAAGTGACAACCAAGAACTCGTAAATAGCCACAAGACTATATACTACCACAAAATACAGCAAAGAAAACAAGCACCATTAACCCACAACAAATCTCCACAAAAAATTCTTCACACCAAGGAAAAGACGAAAACACATGCATCGATAGAAATACATACACATGCGCACACACCCAGAAGACGAAAAAAAAGGAGAGGGAAAACGGGAAAACAGAAGTAGATATATAAATAAACTTATTAATTTTACTAACATAAAGGGGGAGGGGAACTAATCACTTTTCCAAGTATATTTTCAGATTCAGATCCAGGCCCCAGAGACCGGAAGGACACACAGGACAAGCGAAAAACGAAGACCCCCAAAAAAAACCAGAAAACGCATACTATCAACATTAGGACAATAAATGCCGCTGATGCCGGTCCGCTCCCCTGGCTCTGGCAAGCTAGATAATTTTCCTTTTCTTACCAAATCGGGTTACACTCAAAATTACCTTTGGCGATTGCCCGATTCATTTATTTCTCGATCGGCTTTAAGTCTGCAATGCTCACGCGGGTGCAGACGGGGAACTTTTATTTTCCTTTAATTTACAATCCCCACCTCAAATCTGTCCCTACCTACTCGCCTCTCCCCCCCTCCCTCCTCTCTCTCTTTTGTTCCCTTAGTATGAAGTTCTTTGTCGGATTCTTTCGACTTGTGCTTTATATGTTGGGCACAGCGGGTCTGTGAATTTGTGATTAGTGTCAAATTGTGATTTAAATTTTTCGTTGCTGTTGCTGCAGGCTTTGCATTTGACTGTGATCACCTCGCATTCTTGGTGTCTGTGTTCTCCGGCACACTCAGGGCACGTCGCTCTATTTTGGCATTGCCTTTGTGTGTGTCCGTATGATGAGCAGTTCAGGCATCTTGGGACATATATATTCTCTCTGACGGGACAGGAGGTCCAACCTATTAGTAACCTTTTCCTGTTCTTTAGTTGCCTGAATGCGTTTGCAGACAGTTCAATGATCTGGGTGTTCGTGCCGTTGTTTGTTCTGAAAGTTCAAATTATTTTTATTTAGTCCTCTCCTGCTTCGATTTTGTTTTGGTGTATGATTGCCTTCGTGATTTCTTCTTCTGTTAGCTCTCTTTCTACTTGTGTTATGGAGATTTGGGGATTTCGTTCTTTGGGTTTTTTGTATTCTAGTTTTTCTCTGGTGTCTTTTGTTTCGTTGATTTTCCTTTCCAGTTTATCTATGGCCTCTTTTGAGTTGGTAGTTATGGCCAGTCCTCCCCTAATCGGTTTAAGTCAGACGTCAGTCAGCCCGACGTCCGCTGGGTGGATTGAATTCTTTAGGAGGTTGCCCACTTTGATGTGGCCGTCTTTTTCTTGACTTCCTTTTGTCGTTACCAGTAGAGTATATTTCTTTTCTCGCTCATTGTCGTCTTGTTTTGGGGCTTCGTTGTTGTCATCGCTTTGCGTGCCCAGCGCCTGTGAGTATGTCTTAGTCCTCGCTTTTTCTGACTCGTTTAGTCATGCATTGTTTTGCAACAGGACGAGTTCTCTGAGGCGTAGGTTCTCTTGGATTATGAGTTCGGTTTTTTCGTTGATTCGGTTCAGTTCGGCTTTGATTTTGGCGTTTTCGTCCATCACCTTGATTGTTGTCCTTGTAAGTTCTGCGATAGATTTAAGTAGCTCTTCCAAGCTTGCCTGTGAGAGCTCCTGTGTTTGGGGTCTGTCTTTTTTGGTGTCTTTTGTTTTGTTTTTGTTGGCAGCGTTGCGACTAGTTTTCCTTTCGTCTGGGAAGTCGTCTTCCCCCGTCTCTGGGATCTCCTCCCTCACTTCCCGTTCCAAGTAGATGCCCTCTTCCTCCGAATCGGTGTTTTCCTTGTCCTTGTGGTTTTTCTTTTCATCATTGTCTGAGCAGTATTCTTTCGTTTTTTTCTTTTTCTTCTTCCTAACGCTCTTTTTCTCGTGATATGCGTTCATCTTTGCCGGTGTTGTCTCCGTGTGGTTGAGGCTTTTAGGTTCTCAGGTAAGTTTTTAGGGTGACTAGCGGATGAATTCGAATTGTTTTGCTTTGGTTTCCTATTGGGAGTAAGATTGGATTTGGGATACAAGGGTAGGTGGAATTCGACTGATTTGTGTGGTTCCCACCACACTCCCCAGGGGCCTCAGATGTTGTCTAATACGGAATATCTATTAGGCCGTTTTTGATCGCTTTTTTCGCCCGGATTGGTTTCCAATCGTCCTCCTTCGGGTTTCTAAGGGGGAGGAGGTGCCCTTATTTTCCCTCTAGGATCAATGGTTTTCGAGATATAGAGTAATTTGTGTGGCGTTTCGGTTTCGTATTGGTTTCCAGGTTTCGGTTTCGGTTTCGATTTCGGTCTTAATTGAATATTTTGGGTAGTTCCAACTATCTGCCCCAGGTGTCCTTAGTTGTTACCGAATACGGAGTTTCTAATTAGGCCTTTTTCGATTTATTTTTCGCCCAGATTAGTTTCCGATCGCGTTCCTCTGGGTTTCTAAGGTGCTTTTATTTTCCCTCTATGATCAATAGTTTTCGAGATATAAATCAATTTATAGGGCAGTTAGGTTTCCTGTGGGTTTCAAATGGGTTTTAGGCTTAGATGATCTCGAGCTTTCGGTTTCGGTTTAAATTTCTCTTTCCTAGACCTCGGGTGGGTTTAGCAAGATGGCCGCCCAGCAAGGTTTTCCGGTTGCCGTTAGGTTCTAAGTCTATGCTTTGTTATGGCGGAAAGCACATGTGTTGGTGATTTCTACGTTTAATTGAATAACTTCGCGAGTTCTGGTCGGATTTGAAAAATCATTATATTTTTGGATTCTCTGGAGCGTGTGCTTTAAAACGGCACATTATTTATATAGGCTTCGGGTAGTTTACGGGTTGGATGAAATGGATTAAAATGTTTTGTTAGGAAAGCACATGGGAATGCTATTGTGTGTTTAATGTAGTAACTTTGCGAGTTTTTGTTTGATTTAAGAAATAATGGTGAATTTGGGATCTCTAGGTCACGTACTTCTTTAAAATATATAAATTAATTAGGTTAGGGCCTGTTGTTTTTAGGATTGAAATGGATTAGGATTTCTGCTTAGGGTTAACCCTATCTTCCGCGTCTCCACATCGAATTTTTGAAAGGTTATTTCTCAGGATCTAGTTTAGCTAGAACAATAAATTTGGTATCTTTTTTCGGTCTCGGCGTGGAGAATCTTATGCGATAGTTTGATTTCGTCTAGCGGTTTAAGTTTTTGCTCAATCTGCTCAAACGTGAGTGGCGGCCATCTTGTTTTTTTGTTTTGCAATTCGGGAAGTTTGAGATTCTTGTTATTTTAAAATTCCTGTTTATAGGTAAGTTTTAGCCTGTCCAACGCGTTCCTGGGGTGTTCCGATTTTACTTTTTACAAGATATCTGCCCAATCTTGGGGAGTAAAGTGGGAAAAAAGCTTACCTTTGGAGCTGAAGTGCCCAGGTGCTGGCGCCGGTGTCCCCCTGGTGGCAGCAGTAGTAGATAGGGACAGATTTGAGGTGGGGATTGTAAATTAAAGGAAAATAAAAGTTCTATATCTGCACCCGCGTGAGCATTGCAGACTTGAAGTCGATCCAGAAATAAAGGAATCGGGCAATCGCCAAAGGTAATTTTGAGTGTAAGCCGATTTGGTAAGAAAAGGAAAATTATCTAGCTTGCCAGAGCCAGGGGAGCGGACCCGCATCAGCGGCATTTATTGTCCTAATGTTGATAGTATGCGATTTCTTTTTTTTTTTTTTTTTTTTTTTTTTTTTTTTTTGGGGGGGGGGGGGTTTCCGTTTTTCGCTTTTCCTGTGTGTCCTTCCGGTCTCTGGGGCCTGGATCTGAATCTGAAAATATACTTGGAAAAGTGATTAGTTCCCCTCCCCCCCTTTACGTTAGTAAAATTAATAACTTTATTTATATATCTACTTCTGTTTTACCTTTTTCCCTCTCCTTTTTTTTCGTCTTCTGGGTGTGTGCGCATGTGTATGTATTTCTATCGATGCATGTGTATCTATACATTGTGTTTTCGTCTTTTCCTTGGTGTGAAGAATTATTTATGGAGATTTGTTGTGGGTTAATTGTGTTTGTTTTCTTTGCTGTATTTTGTGGTGGTATGTAGTCTTGTGGCTATTTTCGAGTTTTTGGTTGTCACTTTTATGTGTTTATTTTGGGGTGGTTTTGATGTTGGTTGTCTTTGGGTTTTATGTTACAAAGGTCGTAGTTGGTTGGGGTGAGCTATTTAGTTAATTGAATTTTCTTTTTTTTTGGTTAGTATTTAAGGTTAGTAATTGTTGGATTTTTTATGGTTTAAAAGGTGTTTAGGTGTGTTTTATGTGTATTCTAGTGGTTGAGGTTGAGGTTGGGGGTTTGGTTTTAGGGTTATCTAATTACTAGTGTTGTGCGCCTCTTGGTTATTGTATTTAGCTCAGACCGCTGGGTTGATATTTAGTTGGGTATAGAGTAGTTGTTTTTTCCCCTTTTTTTTCTCCCTGTTTCAGTTCTTGTTTTATCCCCTTTCCTTTTTCTTTTTTTCTATTTTCCCTGTCTTTTAGGGTTGGGCAAGTTTCCCTTTTACCTATTGATGCCTTTTTTATATATATCTTTATTTCTGTTTTTCTTTTTCTGTTTTTTTTGCCTTACTGCCCATCAGAGGTCTCTCATCACCCTTCCCCATCTCTGTTACCCTTTGTCGGTTCTTTTGCTGCCTGGTCCTTTAGTAGCGAGGGCGCACCCTCCTCCCCTCCTTGACTAAAAAAAATTTTTTTTCCCTTTTTTCTCTTTCCCCCTTCCTTTTTTTCCTTTTCCTCTTCTTTTCCTGCTCTTAGGTTCTCGCGACCCGCCCCCAGAGGGAAACTCCAGGAGCGGGTGGGCGGCCCCTGTCTCCCGGGGTGAGAACTGGGACCCACCAGGGACCCCCAGGTGTTAAGTGGGTGTCCCCCGCCGTGACCTCCTCCTATCTCTCTTTGTTGTCATTCCGTTTCGTTCTATTTCGTTTGGGGAAGGCCCCGGAGTCTCCCCCCTAATGGGTCCCTGTCTTCTTTTCCAAATTTCTTTCTTTTTTTTTCTATCCTGCTTAAAGGTACTCGCGACCCACCCCCAGAGGAACACTCCAAGGATGAGTGGGCGGCTCCTGGCTCCCGGGTGAGAGCCTTAGGTAGCCCAACCGGGGCACCCAGGTGTCAGGTGGATGCCCCCCGCCCTGACCTTGTTCTCTTGGTACTTGTTTCTTTCCGTTCTCTTTATGGGGGAGGCCTCGGAGTCTCCCCCCTAATTTGTCCCTGTCTGTTTTAGTCATTTCTTTTTCCTTCTTTTTCCCTTTTTCCAGACGTTCTTTTTTTTCCCTCTTTCCCTCTTTTCTTTTTGTGGGGGGGGGAGTTGGTGGGGTGCGCCACTCACTCATTTTAGGGCCTAATGCCTTCTTCTAGAGTTTCCGCGCTATCGGCCCAATGGGAGTCTCTATCTGGGCAGTTGGCTTCCCTTGTCTCTCGACCCTAATTCCCCCTTTTTTTTCTTCCCCTACTTGTCCCAATCCTAATTTCCGCGTTTTTAGATGCTGTTGCTTGTGAGTAAGGGAGTGCCAATAAGATTGCCGGGTAGGTGTCCCAAATAGTCTATGCGTGTTATAAATATGCTTTCTCAGTTATATTTGAATTGTATTTATAATGTTTGATTTACTTGATTTACAGTTTTCACAATTTCTTCTAAAATCTTGATTGCGTCTTGATGGCTTATTATTTGTGTTTTGTTTGATTCCGTGAGGCCTGTTGGGAAATATTTTAAGAATCTGTCTCTAAGGTTTTTTGAGATTGGGCAATTTTCTAGATAGTGATTAAAGTTTTTAGCTGTATTGCCGCATGCACAGTTTTCGTCTTGTGTTTTGTTAATTTTTTTAAAGTAGAATGGAAATTTGCCATGGTTTGTTAGTAGTTGTGTTTCGTAATGGCTAGCTGGGAAGTTAGTTGGAATGTTATGTGGTGAGGGTATCCATTTGTATAGTGGGGAATTTCTGTCTTTTTCGTTTCATCGGGTGTGCCAAATCTCTCAATTTTCCTTGCTTCGTTTGCTAATTTGTCTGCGATATCATTACCTGTTATATCAGTGTGACTTTTTATATGGTATAAATTTATTTCGTGTAGTTCTTTGATGTGTTTTATTGCTTTTTTTTATTTTATAGACTATTGGGTTAGTATTGTGTGCGTTCGCGATGGCCTGAAGGGATGATTGGCTGTCGGAGAATAGTGCGAATTTTGTTTTTTCGGGGTAGGTTGTAATTTTTGTTAATGCTGCTTTTATTGCTATTAGTTCAGCTTCAAATATTGTTGAGTAGGGCGGTAGTTTGTTTTTCTAAGTGTTGTATTTTTTCTCGTTCGTCTAATATTATGTATGCAGCTCCTATTGTTTTCCCCGATACTGACCTGTCTGTATAGATTTGTAGTGTTTGGGTTAACTCTATTTGTTTTATATTTTCGATCGGTTTAAAGGTGAAGGAGATGGTGTCTGCTGGATGAATTTTCCATATGTCTAATGAGTGTTGAATGGTTGTGTGTAGGTATTCTTTGTTATCGAAACTGTAGTTTTTTTGTTTTGAAAAATTTCGAAGGTGGCAATTTCTTTCTTTAGTACTAAGTCTAGTGGTTTTAGATTTGTTAATATGTTTAAACTTGAGTTACTGACTGTTTTGTAGGCTTTTGATATTTTTAACATTGGGATTATTTGTATTGACTTTAGTTTTCTAAGTAGGTGTGAATTGTTTGTCTCTTTCCAATAGAATGGTGCCGCATATGTGATTAATCTTTAATAGATCTTATGTAGATTTCTCTAAATTGTGTTTGGTTAATTCCCCATTTGATTCCTGAGAAGGAGGCTAATCTTATGGTATTTTGATATGTTTTTTGCTTTCAGGTAGTTTAGATGAGGTATAAATGATAGGTTTCGGTCAATGATTATTCCTAGAATTTTTATTTCTTCGGTGAGCAAAGAGCCAATGCTGAATTGGCTCTTTGCTCTATCTGTGCCCTGGTTTTCCCGTTAATTACGAGTGTAATGTCGTCTGCAAATGCTTGTATATGTGTTCCTTCTGGGAAATTTTCTTCTTTGCAACAGGACGAGTTCTCTGAGGTGTAGGTTCTCTTGGATTATGAGTTCGGTTTTTTCGTTGATTCTGCTGAATTCGGCTTTGATTTTGGCGTTTTCGTCCATCACCTTGATTGTTGTCCTTGTAAGTTCTGCGATAGTTTTAAGTAGCTAGCTGTTCCAAGCTTGCCTGTGAGAGCTCCTGTGTTTGGGGTCTGTCTTTTTTGGTGTCTTTTGTTTTGTTTTTGTTGGCAGCGTTGCGACTAGTTTTCCTTTCGTCTGGGAAATCGTCTTCCCCCGTCTCTGGGATCTCCTCCCTCACTTCCCGTTCCAAGTAGATGCCCTCTTCCTCCGAATCGGTGTTTTCCTTGTCCTTGTGGTTTTTCTTTTCATCATTGTCTGAGCAGTATTCTTTCGTTTTTTTTGTTTTTCTTCTTCTTCTTAACGCTCTTTTTCTCGTGATATGCGTTCATCTTTGCCGGTGTTGTCTCCGTGTGGTTGAGGCTTTTAGGTTCTCAGGTAAGTTTTTAGGGTGACTAGCGGGTGAATTCGAATTGTTTTGCTTTGGTTTCCTATTGGGAGTAAGTTTGGATTTGGGATACAAGGTTGTTGTTTGTTTGTTTGTTTATTGTGGGGTGTCGGGAAGGGGGGGAGCTAGGAGAATGTGGGCCTCCGTACAGGGGCAAGTCGCTACCAAGCTTTTGGGTAATGGGAGGAATAGAGAGGAAAGAGAGAGAGAGAAAAAGAAAAGAAAAAAGGATTGAGGCGTTTGAACGGGGCGTTGAATCGTTAGCTGACAGCCGAGTAACATGACTCTGAATAGCCCCATTTAAACGGGCATCCGTACTTTGTGGAGAAAGCAGATCTGGCACAATTGATTAGTGCGTAATTACGCTAGAGCCGGCTTGCAAGTCCACTTTCGCGCAGATAAGCCAGGAAAGCACGAAAGGCCTTCTCAGGTACTCCTTGAGTCCCGTTTGGATTTAGAAGGTCTTCAAGATTGGAGTGGAAGAGGCCGGCCGTCGCATACCGCTGAATCAGAAGCTTCCGGTGCTGGTCGTGGCTTGGGCATAGAAGAAGAGCGTGCGCTGTGTCTTCAGGGTCACCGGAAGATGGACAGTACGGGTCTGACTTGCGGTCGTACATGTGAAGGCGTTTGGAAGTATACGCACATCCAGCTCGAAGCCTGTGCAGCAATTATGCCTCGGCACGTGGGAGTCGACGTGGAATAGTAGCGGGAGGTCTTCCGGTCGCCACTCCTCGGTGTGGATGTTGTTGTCTGAGGGATATCCGGATTAACCGGTGAGCCTCGTTAAAACGATCCAAAAGAAATGTTGGGGACGGGTCGTCATGTGCCCTAGCTGCAAGTGCGTCTACTCTCTCGTTGCCGGGGATTCCAACATGAGAAGGTATCCACTGAAAGGCCAACTTCCAGCCAAGGTCTTCAATGTTTGCCGCCATGAATGCTACCCTTGCCAATAATAGAGTGATTTGTACATGTCGCTGAAGCTGCTGAAGGGCTCCCCTGGAGTCGGTGAGAATTACAGCTTTCGCTGGAGGTGAGATATTTTTGATTGATTCAAGGGCTGCCCA